AAATACCACCAGTTATATCGATTGATATGGTGTGGGTGTAGCATATTTTGAATTCTATCTGCTGTTGTGGAAATAGGTCAACCCTCAAAAGATGCCGTCCTCCTTTACTATTTAAAGGATCAGACGAAATTAGTCCAACAATCACTAGATGGGCAACACGGCACCGAGAAACTATACTAACATATTAGTTAGCTAACATTTAACTTTATAGTCGGGCTGTCAGACTCCAGCCTTGAAGGCAAAAGAACTGCATGGATTTGTTTTCTCCCTCTTCAAACACACTAAATCTTGCATGTGACAGCTTTGGTAATTAGCAGATGAGCTGAATCAGGGATGTTAAATGAAGCAGAATGCTAAACTCTCCAATACTGTGGGTGCTCTATAGCAACCCTTTAGCCTTACACATCTGTGTGTTGTGTCAATGTGATTTTCTTAAAAACTGAGATAATAAGATAAGATAAATAGGCTGAAAATGTCTGACCTGAGCTCTGCTCCTCTGTCCAGGCCGACCACAAAACGCACAACATCCTGGCAGAAGCCGTAGCTCATGAAGAGAACCGCATTCTCAGCGATGTTGGCCATCAGAGCTGGGGTAGTGCCATGATATAGACCACGTAACCCCACCTGCTTTGAGATGGACACAAAGCAGTGCACAAAGCCACGGTACATCGCGGGAAACGTCTGCATCTTCACCTTGGCGGTATCAAACGGCTGGCCACACAGCACACATGCTATACCACCTTAAGCAAAAAGAGATAAGAGCAGCACCAGTGACATGACTGACAAATGTAACAAAATCTGTATCTGAATCTTTATTTCTCATTTTGATCACGTTTGTACGACAACATTTTAGGGCCACTGTTTAAAAAATAAAGATTTCAGGAATAAAGTTATAATATTTTGAGGAAAAAAGTAATAACATTATGAGGAAAAAGTCGCATTATTTCAAGAATAAAGTTATAATATTTCAAGAATAAAGTCGTAATAATATGAGAAAAAAGGTACAATATTTCTGGAATAAGCTCATAATACTATGACAAAATGATACATACTGTATATGTCTGTGTGTTAACATGAGGGACAATGCGGATTTGGTGAAGTTATTGTTTCTTTTATTGAAGGAGAAATCACAGGCAGTGGTCAACCAACTTCGATGGTTACATCTGCGGCATAACAGCGGGAACTCCAGTGCACTCAGTACAGCAATCAAGTCTCCATTCCATTATGGCATATGGACTTGCCATAAGGCTTAAGTTTATGGTACTTCGCCATTGTCCATATGACTTCGCCATTGGGTGCTTAATGGCAAATAGCAGCGTTCCAGTACTTCTGGCACTGACAGATGTAACCATTGATAGCCTTGAAGGTGACCACTGCCTGTGATTTCTCTGAGACAATTTCTGACACAAACCACAGGTTTGTGTGGTTTTCACTTCTAAATAAAGACAATTTCTTGAAGTCATTTCAAAGTTTTCATACTAATACTAATCTGGTGCTGATGTGCCAAAGCATTATGTATTTCTTCATTTGTAAAGTATTTCTTTATTTTCATTGCTTCGATATCCATACTCTTTCATAGTACTATGACTTTGTTCTCTAAGTATTGCAACTTTGTTTTTTAATATTGTGACTTTTTTACTCAATATATTGTGACTTTATTCTTGTAATATCACATATTATGACCTTTTTCTTGAAAAATATGACTTTACTCTCAAAATCTTGTATTTTTATTTTTTAAACAGTGGCCCTAATATGCCGTCTTTTGTTTGTGACTAGACCAAAGTAATATACTTTCTCCTGCATGAGAGAGGTCTCAGTATATTAAGAAAATAAAAACATGCATACCAATACCATCTTGCTGAACTAGCCTAGATTTAACAGAAAGTACATGCAAAGTCACTGATCGGATTATTGCCAAAATTGCACTACTCTTAATTACTTTGACCAGCAAGCATTTACTCTTCCAGTGTTTCTTTGTGGTTGGCCTGCCCATGTTTCATCACAGCATTCAGTGGTTATGAACACAAGCTGAAACTCATGACAACAGTAATATAGGCTGTTGGTGTTCCTCTTAAAATAAAGAATCTGGCTAGTTGTCATTGAGGGTCCAGCTCATGTTACCACAAGTTACAGTAAATGTATGGGTTTATTTAAAGGAACAGCTGTTGTGTGTTTTGAAATAAAAAGAAGGAGAAAGTAACATGTATATTCATTTTTATATTCACAAAGTAAAAGAAAGAATATACTGGTACAGTGAAATTCATTTGTTCACACATTCCAATTTGTTAGTAAGCTAGGGTCAAAGCAGAGGGTCACAATGGCACCCCTGGAGCAGAGAGGGTTAAGGGCCTTGCTCAAGGGCCTGACATTGGCCACATGACAATGGATTTAAAATGAGCCTAGACGCCTTAACCTCTAACCCACCACTGCCTATATGTCTATATATATATATATATATATATGTCTATATATATATATATATATATATATATATATATATAGGCATATACTGTATACAGTACTGTGCAAAAGTCTTCAGCTCCCTTTTTTTTTTTTTTTAGTACAAACTTTGTTATAGATTTTTAATTTATGACTTCTACATGATCGAGTCAGAACAAAAACATTTTAGATTTCCAAACATTAGTTTTCCAGCACAAAATTAAATTAAATTACAGAAAAATGTTTGTATGTCGGTAAAGAAAGCAGCATATTATGTAAGAGACCACTTTTCAGACAAAAAGCTGCTGGGTGTTGCTGCAAAAAATAAGAAGCAATTGCGACAGTCAAAGTGGCTGGTTCTGCAAGATGCTCAGTAAAACTTACAGCTCATTTCCTTATAAAACTGCCCAAATTGTACCTGAGACTACTAATTTTTTTTTAAAGCAAAGGGTTGTCCCACCAAATATTGACTTTTAAATGTAGAAACATTTAATTTCACTATTGTTGAAGGCATCTTTACTCTACAGCATTTCTTTGCATGTGCCTAAGACTTTTACACAGTACTGTATATATAATATTATCATTATTAAAATTACAGTATGGTAGTCTACATACCACAGGCTCCGGCTGATAAATCAATGATGGCTTGAATGACAGGACTTGGTGCCATGATTTTGTAACCTTCTTTGTGTCAAAAACCTGTCAAAAATACACAAATCTTTCAATACACAGCCTAAACATCCACACTTCATGAACAATGTAAGAAGTCTGAATATGTGTTATTCATAAAACAGTTTCATGAAAACATTTACTCTTGAAAAAGATGAAATCTTTACCATTTATGAACCAATACATGAACATTTTTTCAACCCATTGACCAATACTAATGAGTATAAGCGACTAAGAGATTTAAAAGAGCATAATTATGTTAGGATGCAGCTTACACACAATTTATCAGATTAGGTTTAGTTTAGAACTTAAAACAGGACTGGTTCAGGGTACAAACTCTGGGCCTTTAGACCTGTCTTGCTTAATCTTTACAGAAATGTGAGCAATATGGACATAACCCAATATATAACACATTCTCACAATCATAACTGAACAACACTGGGTTTTTCCCCCCAGTAAACCAGGCATTACTGTAAAATCCAACCCAAAGACATTTCAGTTGAAATTTTTTGTTTGATTTCTTGGTTTATAAAATCAAGAGGTTTAGAAGAGCTCTAAAAGAGTGAAAGGCAGGTGTGTATCTTACACTGACACACTTTACTGTTCTGCTCACTACTGTGGCAAACCTGTAACAACCCCCTGTTATAGTGAACTGTAAGTAATCATTCATGAAACGTCCATATGCTTGAAGATCATAAGGATCAAAGCAGCTGAAGGATTGTGGACATATGGGACTTACACACTCCTAAACAGTGTAAAAGTCTCAGTTTGAATTTAAGCAAGACCAAGCCTGTAATTAGTTCACTGAAAAATAACTCAAGGGCACATCACAACGTGTCTTAGGCATTTTATACCGAAGTTAAGCAAGACGATTTTCATTTCCGGGTTCCTTCAAAGACGACCAACTTCACACTTACCGGATCTTCTTCTTTTAATATCTCAGGTCTTTACTGCACATCTACAGATAAATCCGCGTGCGTGTTTCAGGACAATGTGCAGTACAGAAGGGCATCAAGTACAGTGAACTCAGCAGCTTTTCCCCTCTCTGTCTGTGTGTGTGTGTGTGTGTGTGTGTGTGTGTGTGTGTGTGCGTATGCGTAAGGGTGTGTGCTACCACGCTGAAACACTCAGACACGTCGACAAACATTTGTTTTCGTCTAAACCCGACTATGCACTACATGATCTTTATCCCAGGATCTCCGAGTTGCCATTTTTTTGACCAGGTGAAGTGAGAGTCGGATTTCCAGGTCTAATCTCGATCAGAACCGAGTGTGATCCGGTGATGTGCAAGGATAAAAGTCCATCTGATGATGAGATGGAAGACAAGCTAATGGAGCTCTGAAAATAATGTTCATGGTTTCTCATCCATATCTTCAGGGACACTTTGTGTTTTCGTGACTGCTCGTTGTCTGTATGAGAGTTAAGCTGAAGAGGCAAGGTGCACGAGCTCCAGCTCCATCTTTCTTTGGGTCACGTGGTCTTAACAGTCGCGTTATTTCCGTTTTGACTGGGGATTTTGGGGATTGCAACTCCGGCTTTGCCTAATCTTGTAGAAAACGCTAGAAAAAACAGGTACAAAAATTCTAATGTATAAAAAATATTTAATGTTAGTCACACAGACTACACATTTACCCTTATTAATAAACACAACAATATGAATAGAATCTGCTGAATTGCAAACGCCCCATAACATCCATCCATCCATCCATCCATCCATCCTTCCTGCACAGAGAATCTCCACAGCTTATCCTGCTCCTCGGGGAGCTTGGGGCACAGGGCGAGTGCCAACCCACCGCAGGGCGCAATCACCCACACCCATACTCTATGAGCAATTTTGGAAATACCAAATCAGCCTACAACACATGTCGCTGGACTAGGGGAGGCCCCCAAGGCTCAGGAGGCGCGATTCGAACCCGCGGCCCACAGGATGAGAGGTGGGCGTGCTAACCACTAAGCCACCCTTCCCCCTCCCTCACACCTCACACCTC